TTATCGGCCAGGTTGGCACAATAAACTAACTACCTCAGGCGCCCCTCTAGCTTCCCCTGGGCTTGGCCATGGGATACTTGGTAGGGGGCAGGAGGAGGGGAAGATCAGGGCTTGTTGGTGCCTCCTTGGCCTTTTTCACTCTCCAGGGCTCCAAGCAGCCCACCTCTTGGGTTCTAGCTCTGCAGGGTTCCCGCCCGGGACCCTCCTCATTGGTCCTTCCAGGGACCCTGGCCTAAGAAAGAACCCATCCTATCTGACAGCTCAGCCCCCTTGCCCCTCTACTGCACCAGGGGACACACTGGATCACAATGGCTTTTCTCCCCATGCATCTGGGAGCTCCCGCGGAGAGCAGGGACAGACAGGGCAGGCCAGCATAGAGTGAGGCCCCAGAGGCCTCTCAGGCTGTCTGCTGCATGAGTGGGCCGGCCGCCATCCTGCAGCACCTATCACTTGCTCGGGAAGCCTCTCGCTCCACGCAGGCACGCACAGCCCCATGCCCGCCTCCCAGCAGGACTAGGGGAAAGTGGGTCCTTCCTGCTCCCATGACTCGGGCCCCCTGAGATGGCAGCGTGACGTCAGGGGAGGGACTACTCTGAGTGTCCGGTGCCTTGCAGCCACAGAGGAGCGACAGCCAAAGCCCTGGGGAGAGCAGGTAACAGTCTCTTTCCCATTGCTGTCGTCGCTGGAGCAAGTCCAGCAAGTCACATGTGGACTTGTGATCCCCTCCTTAGATCCTGTGACAATATCACTTTGGCCTCAAACCATCCTGAAAGGCCAGGCAGGATCATGCAAAAATATGCTGTGTGACTCCACGCAATGAGCACCCATGTCCCTGGGGCAGCGATGGTGTCAGAGGTCTGCAGTGGGTCCAGGGCACAGTGTCCAGCTGTGGTCCTGTGGGACCCAATCCTGTAACCTGTGTGGTGATGGGACCAGCTGCCCAGGCAACAGCCCCGGAGTTGAAGAGTCTACCAACAGTAACTCAAAACCCACTTAAGACTGGAAATCACCACTGTCTCCCTGAGAGGCAGGCTCCGATCCCACCGTGGGGAGCCAGGACTGGGGGCAGGGCCAACAGGTAGGAGAGCTTTGCTGTTCAGCAGGGACTCTGGCTGAGCAAAGGGTCCAGCCCGTGGCAAGGCAATTCCACCTCTGCCTCCCCTGTCCCTAGACCCCCGCCTAGAGAAGATGCAAGTTAGTGCAGAACAATGTTACTGGTCTAGATCTTCAGTTCTCCCTCCAAGAGCACGCTTTTCCAGTTTTCTTAACACGCCTCCCCCCTCCCCATTCTTACCCCAAATAAAGCCCTTCAATGGACAAGCCTCACGAGAAACCATGAAATTCCCAACGCAAACCACAGGCCAGAAATGAACCGGCCTGTGGGCCACAGTGACAAACAGCACCCTCTGCTGCCAGCCCTGCACGATGCTGTGAGTGGTCGTGTTTCCACCCAGGCAGGCTGTCCATGGCTGACCCTCCCTTGTGTGACAGGAGATGCCAACTCCTGCGGGGTGGGGAGCGGGGGACGCTCCAAGGACATGCTCCGAACGTGGCTTTTGGGGAAGGGTTGTGCGTGAGAGCGGCATTCAGAACTGGGGCCCAGTGGAAACGAAAGTCACAGCGCGTTACCTCACGTGACCACGTGGCAGCATCCTGCTCCGTCAGCGTGGTTCACTGTCTGTCTTCTTGGACAGCAGGTGGCCACTTGTTTCTCAAGAGTGACCCACCATGTGAAAGAGGCCTCTTTTTATTTATTTTAAATAAAGACCACTTGGGTTAATTGGAGATATACGAACTGTATCTCTACCCAAAGCCTTTGAGAAAGCGTGTGGTTTAATAAGAAGAAGGCTGATCAAAGACACAAACGAATAAAAATAATTGAATGCACAGAGACTCCCACCAAAGTGGTTACGACTCATGCCAACAGGTACGATGACGTTATGAAAGAGTGGGCGGATCAAGGAATTTTCACGGGGCCCTCAAATCAAATCATTTTAGAGATGAAATGTCACAAACTATTTATGGTTAGAAAAAAAAACAAACCCCAAACCATCAAACCAATATGGAATGCCAAATATCAGCTGAAAATATCATGATGTAAAAATTCAATTTCCTGCCAACCTGCTTTGTAGAACAAAGTCCAAACAGAAACAACACACACACACAGATGACTCATGGGCAGAAACAGAGAAGCCAACTGCCCACTGAGATGTGCTACGGAGAGGATGCTTTTGGTTTCTGCCACGGTTACATCTGAGGGGTGTGGGTGGGGGGTGGGGGAGTCCCCCTGACACCGTGCTGCCCCAGTGACAGGCTGTGGGAGTGTGCTCAGTGATCCCTGGGGGCTGCTGTTGTGCGGAGCACCGTCAGGTGGTTCTGACTCATAGCGACCCTACGCACAAGAGACCGGGACCCGCCGGGTCCTGCTCCATCCCACCATCAGACCCATGTCGGAGCCCGTTGGGACAGCCGATGCTTCCTCTCTTCGGTGGGTATTCTATTTTACCAAGAACGGCCTCCTTCTCCAAAGACTGGCTCCTCTTACCGTCATGCCAAAGGTACGTGAGATGAAGTCGTGCCATCCTTGCATCTACGGAGCATTCTAGCTGTCCTTCCAAGACCCATTTGTGATGCTTCTGGCAGTCCCTAGAATATGCAATATTCCTCCCCCAGGACCCCGATTCAAATGCATCAATCCCTCCACCTTCCTTATTTACTGTCCACATTTTGCATGCATTAAGATGTCCCCAAAGCCACAGCTTTTTAACACTTCAAACATTTTGTTTTCCTTGCTTTTTCTTTTTTTAAGGTTGAGCTGCCATCCATACTGAAGACTGTCGTCATTGCTCTTCATCAGTAAATGCTTCAAGTTCTCTCCACTTTCAGCTAGCAGGGTTGGGTCATGTGCACATTAAAGGTTGTTAGTGAGCCTTCCTCCACTCTTGGGGTCCAACCCCTTCTTTTTTACAGTCCAGCTTCAGGGGTTATTTGCCCAATAGGCAGACTGAACAATACGATGAAAAGATTCAACCCCGATGCACACCTTTTTTGGATTCTAAATCATGCAGTATCCCTCTGTTCTGTTGCAACACCGGTCTCTTGGTCTATGCATGCGTTCCTCATGAGAACAGTTAAGTGATATAGAATTCCCATTCTTCCCAGTCTTATCCATACTTTTTTGGTGATCCTCAATAAAACACAGGCAGTATCTTTCTGGTATTCTCTGCTTTCAGCCAAGATTCACCTGACGCCACCAATGATGTCCTTCACCCTCTTTTGACTCTGGCTAGAATTTCTCAATAGTTCTCTGTTAATGTATTGCTGCAAACATTTTGATTTATCTTCAACAAACTGTTACTTGCACGTGATACTTGTGATATGGGTCAATAATTCCTGTACTCTCGTCTATCTCCTTTCTTTGGAATGGGCATGGATGTGGATCTCTTGTAGTTGGCTGGTCCACATATAACTTGTCTCCCAAATTTCTTGGTATAGATGAGTGAGTGCTGAATCCGCTTTGAAACATCTCAGTAGCCTGTCACTTCTTGAAGCCTGGTTTTCCCTCGGTGCCTTTGTTCACTACAAGCCTGAGCGTCCTCCTTCACGACCCCTGGTGCTGGATCGTATGCTCCCTCCTGCAATGGCTGACTGTCAACCAGTTCTTCTTGGCACAATAATTGTGCATTCCTTTCATCTTCTTTTGATGCTTCCACCTGACAATTTGTGTCCTTCAATACTGAAACTCAAGCCTGGATTTTTTTCCCCCCCAGTTCCTTTGGCTGGAGACAAGCTAAGTGCGTTCTTCTCTTTTGGTCTAACGACTGACACAGGCACATTTCGCAGTTACTGTGTCTTCATGCGCTAGCTGCACTTGTAGGTTTTCGGGCCATCTTTTCTGTCGTTGTCTCCTCGGCTCACTTTCACTCACCTGTGAGGTGTTTCGTGTTGTCTCGCAATCTGCCTGGTCTTCAGTCCGTTGTGTCCGATGCAGGACATCGATTCTTGAGGTGTTCTCTAAATTCAGATGGGATTTGCTTAAGGTCATATTTTAGTTCTCGTGGACTTGTCTGAATTTTCGTCAGCTTCAAGTGCATCTTGCATATGAGCACCTGATGGTCTGTTACTCAGCCAGTACTGAGATGATTTCCTTAGTCGCCTTCCACAGATGCAATCAATGTGATGCCTGTGATTACATCCGGGGATGCCCATGTGCATAGTTGTGGCTCATGTGGTTGACAAAAGGTAGTTCTGATGCACGTCATTGGTTGTGCTGTTGCAAAGTTGTAGCATGCGTCTCTGGTGCCATTTCTACCACCAAGGCCACATTTTCCAACTAGTGATCTTTCTTTGTTTCCCACTCCCATGTTCCAATCACCAGTAATTATCAATGCCTCTTGTTTGCATGTTTAATCAACTTCAGACTGTAGAAGCTGGTAAAAATCTTCAATTTCTCCATCTTTGCCATTATTGCTTGGTGCATAAATCTGAATAATAGCCATGCTACTTGGCCTTCCTTGTAAGTGTTTGGATAAAATCCTATCACGGACATCTCTGCCCTTCAGGATAGATCTTGAGATGCTCTTTCTTGATGTTGAATGTGACACTGCTCCTCTTCAGTGTCATTGCCAGCACAGGAGACTATATGATTGTCTGGTTCAACGTGGCCCAAACCCGTTAATTCCAGCTCACTTCGGAGGCCCTTTCTTCCCCACCTCTCTAAGCAAAAAGATGGGGTACCTCACAGTCATCAGGGAGAAAAGTGTCCCTTGGATGTCTTTCTCGGTAGATTGCGCTCGAGCTTGCTACCAGACTTCGGGCATTACCTCCTCTCTGAAACAAAGCGGCGCCCCGCGCAGCAGTGCAGACACCTGCCCTTGCCAAGCCCTTCCCCCTTTGCAGACCGGCAGCTGGGGGAATGGAGGCAAATCTTTTATGGATTAGCAAAACCAGGTGAGACCCAACCAAACGCACACCGATGAGGGAAACCACCAGGGACTTACTTTGCAGTAGTTTCTTCATCGTATTTGGTTTTCAGGTCAAATAATTCTGTTCGAGTTTTCTCCAGGGCTGCAAGGTATGGGACATAAAACCAGGATTTAGACTACAAACTGGTTTAAATCAATTAAAAAGAAAGAAAGAAAATCGTACTGTGTATTTTTCATTTCCTGAGAGTCAAAGATGACAAAAGGGCACTTCCTTCAGCCTCGTCTCCTCCCAGGATCGTCCTCAGGGATCACCAGCCCCTGGGAATAATTCAGCCCCCGGAAGCTTCGCTTCAAAACATGCAGACACGGTGGCACATGCAATCTTTCCCCATAAAGGGCATACTATACACACTGCTGGAGTCTTGCTCCCCCACCCTTCTGTGTTGGGGACATGGCACTGCCACAGCCAACACAAGTTAAACCTGTGCTGCGTGCTCCTGGACATGGAGGCCTGAAGCTGCAGGATGGAGAGCTCACGCAACTAAACTGCCAGGACCACGACCCAGCTGCCCCCACCCCCAGGAGGACACTCCCCCCCCACTCTAACACCAGATGCCAGCAATTCAAATGTTTCTGACAGTCTGGTAGGCAAACAACCCTTTCTTATCTCCCTGCCTCTTGATCATCGACCTTGTTCAGATATGTACCAGCCATTTGCGATTTCTTTTGCAAGAAGCCGGTTCATACCCTTTGCCGTTTTCCTCTCGGAGTGTCTGCTGGTGGTTACTGCTGGGTGGTCGGAGAGGTCTTTATCCTTTCTGGCCCTTACTCACTGTCCGCTCCAAGGGGGATTCTTGCCTCCCACTCTGCCCCGTATTTCCACTGGGATTATGACGGATGCTCGCTAGTGTTCTCTCTCTGCATTTCAGTCAAACTGGCAGGGCTGTGGTCCTGCCAGTAGACATTTGGCCCCCTCGTTTCCCCCAACCCCCACCCCCTATGGCCCTACCGCCAGAAAAGAAGTTTCCAGAAACTAAAAATGGCAGCATAACCTTTTGGGGCATTCTTTCTGTTTTCCAGGCCTGCTCTTCTCACCCCCCCCTTGACCATCCCTTTGGAAACCCTGCTTTCTCCTATCATTGCTTGAAAGGAAATGCCAGCCCTTGACGATTTGAAGCGTTCCACGTGCTTGGTGGCCAAAGAGTGGAAGGAACGATGGGGCATGGAAAGGACGGCGAGGGGATTCTCATTCTCAATGCTGGTGACGAATGACAAGGGCAAGGAGGCTACTGGGGGTCTTGGGCAGCCGCGAGTGCACGCGTGTGCACCAATGTGTACACTCAGCAGTGAGCCCAGGGGTCCCCGTGGGAGTCGGAGGGGCAGGGGCAGACGGGCAGGCTCCTCTCCCCCAGCCTGCCCTCCATCAGCTCGGCGGGGAGGGAGGACATCAGACCTGTTTGCAGAGTCTGGAGCTTGTGTTCCGCTTCCTCCAGCTTTGAGGTGGTGGACAGCTGTGTCTCCTGCAGCTTTCTGAAAAGAGAGACCACGCAGCCAGATCGGTCACCTCGTCACCGGCTGAGACGTCTTGGACGTCTGAGTGACAGTGGTCAGCCAGCATCGCCGGCCACCCACAGGCAGCTGCCAACCGCTCTCCCTCGAGTGCCATGCGCACGGCGAGGTTTCTTCCTCGTCCCGAACGGCCTGGCTTGGTCACCACAGCTGGCATAATGTGAAGCAGGCAGCGGGGAGGGCTTGACATGTGACAATCTGTGTGGAAGGTTACCCTAAATGTAACTGTGCTGCCAATGCTGGAGATTCAGAAGGAAAACTGAAAAAAGATGAAAAACAAAACACAACAAAAAACAACCCCACACAAACAACCCATCATCACGCACTCATTGTTTCCTGAAGCCGGTCCACGCAGAGTGATGCATTTACATTTTGCTGACACAATGAAGGAGTTTGTTGGAATAAAGGATGTACTAAATAGATGTGACAGCTGTTCCCGCTCTGTTATAATGGAATGCAAATGCAACTGCAATACCTAATGGGGAAATTCGGAATGTTCTCAACTACATTCCACAGAGTTAGATTTCCCCTGATCTCGACATGAATTCCCTGGTCAATAATTAGCATGCCTTTCCTCCTAATCTGCAGAAAATCTCTAAAAATAAGTTTTATTATTTGTACAGGGTATGAAGATAGCATATGCCAGGAGAGTCACAAACCTGGGAATACAGAGAAGTAAAAAGCAGACAATTGTTTTCAAGAGCATTCAAATGGTTAGCATCTAGAGGACAGGGGTTGGAGTATACTGCTTGGCAACTAACAACAACACAGAAAAGCATCACTAACACTCTCAGGTATTCCAAAGAGGAAAGCCAATGATCGGAGTTTAAAAAAAGTAAACAGCAGAAGACTCTAATGGGCCAGATGTCCTTGCCCTTCCTTCCTTGGCTCCATTTCTACTCGTTAGACATGGTGCCTTCATATCTGACGCAAATGTCTAATATATTACAAACCCAAGGGTTTCTGAGAGTGTGACCCTTTCTGGATCCAGAACAGCCTCATCCTTCTCCTTCTGAACGACTGGTGGGTTTGAACTGCTGACCTTGGGCCAGTAGCCCAGTGCTTACCCCACATCACCACCACTGTGTAATAAAAAGACCCTGAGTGCCCCCCCC